GGTACCTCTGAATAATTTGCATCCACTAGGCTCAGTATAAAACTCTTGCCTTTTTCCAGCTAGAAAGAGAAGAAAAAACCCATTTCGAGCTCTTATCCCCATCAATAGCAGGAGCCATTTGAGGGAAGCTGTGTAATTAGGAATCCAGATCTGTATTATCTCCTTGCTGAACACATTGAAAGCCTTTCCTTTTTCCAGAAAGAAACCTCTTTGCAACAAAGGTCCTTAACGTACTGGACATGAGCCCAGCTATTGAGACTTTGAAATGTACAAAGGCCTGTTAGAATTGCCCATTGAATTGAACTTGCACTTACAGTCCAATGAGACTGCTGGGCTTTCAAGGAACTATCCCTTCCAGTCCATTTCCTCTTATGATCTACACAGTTCCTGGTCAACTGAATCTAGATCAGAGAAGAGAACTGAATAATAATGTCCATCCTTTGAATTGATCTGAATCCCAGCTCCAGGTGAACCATGAATTTAGGATGCCAAGAGTCATGTTGAAATGACACAGCCAAGAAGAACTGATGCCTTTCGTTATGCCCCTTCATGACCATCTACACTAGAGGCTGTCTACTACCAATTCTTGAGAAACAGGAAAGTGTGACATCCTTATCTTTTCTGTCCTCCTCCGACCCCCACTCTATGTGTAGGTTACAATATAATATGTTTCTCTGTGTATTTTTCCACTGTCTCTTACTGAACTCCTGACTTAAATGCATTCACCTATCTTTTCCCTCCTTGACACAGTTTATTCAGATCACTCAAAGAAATGGTTCTTTTCCTTAAAAACTGTAATGTATATGTTGTTCCATTTCTAGCACCCAGGGATTATTCACTGCTATTGCCTTAGTGGTGTTTTAAATGCTACTCCCTACTGATTATTACTTTTTCCTCATTATCATTTTCTTACTTCCGCCACTGAGTGCTTTGTGGGTTTTTTGTCCTTTCATCTCTATTCTCCTAAGCTATTAGGGGAATATGCTTTAAAGGCTGTTTTCCAAATTGGTTTGCAAAATAATATTTAGATTATAAATATTACCTTACCTTGTGTAAAATAATGTGAGTATGCTTGGGATAAAAGTAAGCTTTCATTGTACCTGTGGCATGCTGACCAAATTGTGCCAGAACAGCTCAGTACTTTCTTTACAATGAGCAGGGAATGTTATATATGGCATAAGCTGCTAAACTGATGTCTAATTCTCTGATTTTTCCAAAAGCATTTTGTGAATATTTTGATTGGCCAAAGCAGGGGTTCCCAACTCTCGATTCATGGACCAGCACCGGTCCACAGCATGTCAGAAACCAGGCTGTGCAAACAAGTGAAGCCCCATCTGCAGGATGCAGGCGGCACCTGAAACCATGCCCCCACTGGTCCTTGGAAAAACCTCTGTACATGGAACCGGTCCCTGGTCCCAGAAAGGTTGGGGGCCACTGGACCAAGTCATAACAGGGGGCAAAGGCCCATTTGATAACAACCAAAATGACAACAATATGTGAAAGATTGTAATTTGAAATGTAAGATGAGTACATTGGGTAAAGAACATGAAATAATTAATGACTTCATAAAAATATATATATTTCTGTTATGGGTGTCTGAAATCAAGAGAAAGGGGAAGAATGAAATGGAGCTGAACAAAAAGGGTATGATCTGGTGGAATGATATGATTAATATATGAAAGAGATGATTTAATTATATATGAAAGAGCTGAAACATTAATATATGCATAAATAGCTATATATAGCAGATACATATAAAAGAAAGAAATCCTATAAAATTAACATTTCATTCAAGGCACCAAATAGTTTCTATCAGCTAAGTATATAAATTAAAATTTTGCTATTGCCTTTAAAACACTTGGATGTTGGTGATTTAATAAGAATACCTCAACCTCTCCATCATGAGTGTTTATCAGACTCAAGATTGGGTGTATTGGCTGTGATCAAGAGGGCTTTTTAAAAGGATGTGTGAAACAGATTCAGTCTCAGAATTCAAACAAATACATACAGGTAGTCCTCGTCTTACAACCACAACTGAACCCGAATTTTCCATTGGTAAGCCAGACAGTTGGTAAGTGAGTTTTGCCCCATTTTATGACCTTTCTTGCCTTAGTTGTTAAGTGAATCACTGCAGTTGTTAAGTTAATAACACGGTTAAGTGAATCTGGCTTCCCTATTGACTTTGCTTTTTTGTTTATTCATGTCAGGAGCATCACAGTTACAGTATACAACATAAAATTTAAAATATAAAATACAAGATTAAAGTATGTACAAGTTAAACAGATCTTGCCCAGAAACTAGCAACATTAATTATGTTCTGTTGCACATATGTTCTGGGGTCCTTAAGTCGGCACTGATCAGGATACAAAGAACAGGTATATATGTGTTTTATTGTCTACATGTCACCACAATTGCAAAGGGCAGAAGCCACCAGATAGCCCCATTTGATCAGACTATCTCTGGGTCTTGTTGTCCCTGTGCACAGTCTATCCAGTTGTTTCTATACTTCCCAGCATTTGCCAGCTCCTCCATTAGTTCTGCCCAATTTTGGTTCTTCGTAGATTTCCATAGGTCCACTCTCTGCTTTTAAAATCTTCAAAGTCTTCTGTTGAGCTAAGGAATCTGAAAGAAGCCTCCCTGATGAATGTGTGTTGTTAACACAATTGGGCATCCCCTGGGCAACATCTTATAGCTGGCTAATCCTTTCAATCCAGAAGCACCTGAATGGTAGTGAGATGTTCATTCCCACCTGTGGCCTTGCTTGTCAGAAGGTCACAAAAGGTGATCACATGACACCTGGACACTGCAATCATCATAAATGCATACCAGTTGCCAAGCATTGGAATTTTGATCACTTGACTACGGGAATGCTACGAGGGTTGCAAGTGTAAAAAATGGTCATAAATCACTTTTTCAGTGCTATTGTAACTTCGAACGGTCACTAAATGAATGGATGTATGTTGAGGACTACCTATACTCAATCTTCATAGGGTTGTTGCAATATGACATATCAGAAAAGAATTCACTCCTATTTTTATTTTAATGAGGCTGAAAAAATCTGGCAATTATTTTTAAAGAGTTTTGGTTCAAATTCCGAAACAATGGGGAAAAAAACAACAATTAAAAATTCCCTCTTATTCTGTGCCAAAAAAATAAGTATATAGCAGTTATTGAGCAATTTAAGTGTGAAGGGATTATAGAACAGTTGCCTTGATCAATATGAATCTAGGAGGCCTAAACTGAACGTTATAAATTAATTGACAATTTATAATCTCAGCATTTTATATGGGAACTTACTAACTTCATGAAAGTTGCTGTAAAATAAAGAAGGATAAAGCTCATGAACCAGAACATGCACATTAAAGAAGCTATATCAATTATTAAAAAGAATGTAGTAAACCCTAATGGACTGCACTAAGAATCAGGGTGATTTGAAAACATTTCCACAGCTTCCCAAAGAAATACATTTTGTGTGCAGCTGCACAAACATTATTGCTGAGTAGGCAACTGCACACATGCTTCCCAAATGTGAACATATTTTATGAAGAAAAGGTTTAATAGTGAGTGTGATGAACTGAGTTTTCAGTGTGTGAGGGAAACAAAAATGGATATGTATTCTGTCAGAAGCAAAGCGGACGATTGCCTCAACCTTTTTTCTGGTGAATATATTGCCAGCTATTATGGCACGATTTTTACTAGCTATTTAGTCATAGCCTAATAATTTGCCAAGTCTTTGTTGGATGTTTAGGCCCAATTCTAGAAGACAAGGCAAAAGTCCTCAACTTACGATCATAATTGTGCCCAAAATTTATGTTGTTAAGTGAGAAATTTGTTAAGTGAGTTTTGCCCCATTTTATGACTTTTCTTGCTACCTTTGTTAACTGAATCACTGCAGCTGTTAAATTAGTAACGTGGTTGTTAAGTGAATCTGGTTTCCCCATTGACTTTGCTTGTCAGAAGGTTGCAAAAGGTGATCACGTGACCCTGGGGATGCTGCAATGGTTATAAGTGTAAAAAATTGTCATAAATCACTTTTTTCAGTGCTGTTGTAACTTCGAACGGTCACTAAATGAATTGTTGTAAGTTGAGGACTACCTGTACAGACATTATTGTACAAATTGAAAATTTTGTATTAGCTGTACTTGGAAGAATTCAGATGATTGGAAATCGCATTTCACTAATGTCAGAAGCAACAAGGCACTTCCAGGTTGAAAGCATTTGCCAATGACATCACTGTTGCCCGGGGGAACCCAGTTGGGGGCTCCTTTCATGTCCCCAGCAGAAACTGGAGTTGGAGCTGGGAACTTATCCCGCCCCATGGCAGCACTCGGGTCTCAAACATGAGCTTGTTGCTTGTCAATCCAGTATCCTAACCAGTGGTGGGATTCAAATATGTGAACAACCAGTTCTCTGTGTGGATGCCGTTTCCAGAAGTCCATTCTGGGCCTGGGCAACAAAAAATTAGCTACCAGTTCTGCTGAAGTGGTGCGAACCGGCTGAATCCCACCACTGATCCTAACTATGTGAACCACTGTGCTTCTATGATTGGAAATAGGTTTGTCCCTTAATCTTGGAACCTGGAATCAGAATTCTGCTGAAGCTGAATAGAAAGTTATTTTCATATTTTCACATTTTTAATTATTACTACTAAAATATTTTTTATGGTTTTATGGTATATTTTTAAATTCTATGACTTGGTCTTGGATCATAAATAAATAAATAGGAAGAACAACTCTGTGTTTACTTTTTAACAACACTATGTTTGTCATTATTTCAAAGTTGAATTCTTTTTTTCCTCTTCCTCCTTCTCCCCCTCCTCCTATCTAAAAACTTTTCAGATATTGAGTCATTCATTACCCATATGCCATTTGAGTTATAGGCAGAAATTGCAACCTAAAGGTACTTTGTAATATTATCTTGTTGCTGTAGCTGGATGCAATAATAAAGGATTTATCTTTTTAACTTTCTTTCTACTTCTCTCATGTGATTCCTCTGGACAGAACTCCAAGCCAACCATTTCTACCAGCAATTCCTAATGTGTCTGGAAGCAGAGTGAGTTCCCTGGAAGACCGGCTATCTAACCAGGAGCGTACCACTGCTGTGCTTCTGGATCAGGCCTTTCGGATCAAAGATGGCATTGCTTCATGCCTTCAGGGAAATAAGAGCTTTCAGCAAGGAGAGGCAGCAGCTCACCAACTATTGGAAAACCACATCCAGACAATCACAAGTGTTGTTAAAAAGCTGAGCCATGACATAGAGGTATTGGCAGATAGCAATTTATTAAACATTCAGAAGTTATGCAATGTTCAGCCTCAAAGAGGTCAAATTCATATTACGTTTTCCTAGAATATTTCCAATATCTCAGGGGTTGCCACAAAGAAGAGGGAGTCAAACTGTTCTCCAAAGCAGCTGAAGGAAGGACAAGAAGCGATTGATGGAAACTAATCAAAGAGAGAAGCAATCTAATATTAACTAAAGAGAAATTTCCTGACTGTTAGAACAATTAATCAGTGGAACAACTTGCCTTTAGAAGTTGTGGGTGCTCCAACACTGGAAGTTTTTAAGAAGAGATTGGACAACTATTTGTCTGAAATGGGATAGGGTTACTCCCTGAGCAGGGGGTTGGACTAGAAGACCTTCAAGGTCCCTTCCAACTCTGTTATTCTATTCTAAACATCCCCAGCATTTTTACTATAGCCTTCTAGCAATGTTTAAGGATCCTAATTTCATGACTCATACCAAGAATCCTGGTACAGTTGAAACATAGCAATAAATGTCCCCCAACCTCACAGATTATGAAAACTCAGAATCCCTTCCCCACATGCATGTACATACAGACACTTACACATACACTACAGTTTCAAATTTTAAAAGTCCAGAATTCTATTACCTGATAATGTAGGATAAAATAGTTTCCAGATGACATTTTCATTGTACTGCCTTACATGTTCACTGAATATTATACTGCCTCATATGCTGCCTAACATGCCCAATATAATGCTTAATATACTGCATAACATGTTTACTGGATATTTTAAATGCTTTCCCATCTCTTCTCCCACATTTTTTTCCTGAAATACATCAAGACAGGATAGATGAAATGAAAATGCAATTGCTTTTGATGGATAGTTTTAGAAGGACTTCAAATGCCAAGCTTGCTCTTCTCTACCATCCTCCACTATTGGTATTCTACAGACACAGTTGCCCTAAGATCCTGATTTGCTATCCTGTCCCACTTTTTTATCTCAGGGCATGGAAATGGAGGAAGGGAAATTTTGCCCTACTGAAATTATTGTGTTTATTTATTTATTTATTTATTTATTTATTTTTAAAATTTATAAGCCTCCCCACTCCCGAAAGACTCTGGGCGGCTAACAATAAAAAACACATAAAACATAACAAAACAACAATACAAAAACAATCATCCAGGGGTAAGGTTTTATAAACCCCAGGCCTGCCGGAAAAGCCAGGTCTTAAGTAGCTTACGGAAGACCAACAGGGTGGGAGCGGTCCTAATCTCCGGGGGGAGCTGATTCCAAAGCGTGGGCGCCATCACAGAGAAGGCCCTCCTCTGCAGCCCCGCCAAATGACATTGCTTGGCCGACGGGGCCTGAAGGAGGCCCAGCCTGTGGGATCTAACCGGACGTAGGGAACTATGAGGTGGTAGGCGGTCTCGCAAATAGCCTGGCCCTGAGCCATATAGGGCTTTAAAGGTAATGACCAACACCTTGAATTGGACCCGGAGACCAATAGGCAACCAGTGCAGCTCACGGAGGATAGGTGTAACGTGGGTGTATCGAGGAGCACCCACTATCACTCACGCGGCTGCATTCTGGACCAGCTGTAGTCTCCGAATACTTTTCAAGGGTAGCCCCATGTAGAGCACGTTGCAGTAGTGTTGGCATAAATGGCTTGGTTAATGTCCATAGATGAAGAGATTCCCCATGCAAAACATACATGCTAGGGCATTGGGGGGGGAACCCATAATGAAATATTTCTAGACAGTGAGATAATTTTAATTGGCTTCCTTTGCATGTGAGCCTGCCATAATAACCATGAATAATTTGGGTCCTTAGAGAAGAGGTCATCAGGAAAAAGATAAGTTAACAACATCTTAGAGTTTTGCTAATGGCTTCTTTAATAGTACCCAACATGTTGGAAAATGCCTTTAAAATAATGAATTTGTCTACTGTGAAAACAGCATGACAAATCAATCTACATTTCACATATATAAATAGGCATATTTTTGTATTTGAGATTATGGGAGAAAATTAATTAAAAACTTTTAAAAACAATACCTAACACTAGTAAGTTTAATTATATTCCTGAAATAATAAATAAGCACTTGAAATAAATTAGAGAAAACATGGCAATAATGTTTTTTTTTCTTTGTATATTTGCACTGTGGGCAGTTTGTAGCCACTGATGTGGGCCAGGAGTGATAGTGTCAGTAACAACATTGTCCTTGGACAAAATCAGATATTTTCCCAAACCTGGCTGTAGCCAATGACTTTTAAAGAGGTCTTGATTCCTGCATACATCCACTCTATTGAATAATGGTCATTTGTTGTACTGTAATTTTAAAATAACCAGGCAAGACTAGAATAATTATATTATCTGGATCTAAATCATGCAATAAAATGTATTTTATTAACACAATAGCTGGATTAACTCATTGTATTATACTAAAACCATATAATCCAAACAGCACACAATATATGAACTTCCCTTTAGTGGGTCATTGGATGTGTATTGAGTTGATTTTATTGCATAAGCTATGACCAGCCTAGGACCACTTTGCTCAACTTTTTCCCCAATTTTTCCTGGCAACAGAGTCCAGACACCTCTCTTTACTTTTAAACAAATCACAATTCCTGCCTTTGATTTCTTTCAAATTAAAGCTTTTAAGAACAAGGCAGGAGCCATGATTTTAAATTTTTTGTTGTTTGCTAATTAAAATAGTTACATTTATTTCAATTCAAATACTAATGTAGTTCATTTAACATAAGAAGTAGATGGGTTTTGTCCTCATGGATATAAAAAAGCAGGAAGAGTACATGAATCATTATATGTGGCAAGTTGTTTTAAACATTCATGTTTTGCTTATTTTGATATAGCATAACACTCCAGCCAGACAGTTTGCTATAGTAGTTAAGGGACCAGGCTAAAAACCTGCATTCTCATCCCATTATGTGGTTTATTAGCCTATGTGTCATTTAAAAATGTTTTTGCATGATCTTTAGATATTTTCCCCTGTTTACATTAACATTTTTATACTGAAAATGAATATTGAAAGCAATATATGCACTCTGGTTATTTGATCTTGGTTTAACAAATTTCATGTGCAATTAAAAATATCCATTTGCCATTTTATGGATATATAACATCTTGAGAGCCAGTTTGGTGTAGTGGTTAATGCATCAGATAAGTAACCAGGCAATTGTTAGTTCTAGTCCCACCAGCAACAGCAAAAGCAAACCACTTGAGGAGGGGAGAATCTTGCCAAGAAAACTACAGGGACTTGTTCAGGCAATTGGATATGATTGAATGGAAACAAGAAGAAAATCATGTTATGCAAGCATAAAACCCTTGCATAAAAGAGTTGCACAGTTTAAGATATTTAGGTGTAAAGGATAATCCTACTTTTGCACATTTTAAGAAGTTCCAAAGGTACTACCAATCTTATTGTTGTAAGGCAAAAGAACAAATACCAGCAAAGGCAATTTATTTTGTAACGTAATTCTGAATTATTACCAGAGCAAATTGGTAACAAAGCTTTTTAGGTTCCAGAATTAAGTGTCCCAGCTGTTTTAGTATAAGTTATTTGCTCTTCCAGCTGATGTAATATAATTTGTTCACAATGCTTATAAAATTCCAGGAGTTGGAGAGACAAATAAAAGCCAGAGATGAAGTAACATCAGGAACTAATTTTGCTGTGCAAAGTCTGGACCATAAACACCTGCAGGGAGTTGGGGACCTACGTGGAAGAGTGGCCAGGTAAGTTGGTGGGAGCTACCTTCTTACAGTTTGATAAACCATGTTTTAATATTAGTAAGCAAAAGCCCATATGCTTCTCCTTCCTGCACATTACAGTTTTGAGAAGAAAACAAACAATGTTTTCTTTAGGATTTGCTTAAACACAATGTTGCACCTAAGGTTGAGTCAGAGAATTCAAACAAAAAAAATTGTCTTTGAGTTTGAAGAAGGTTTTTTTCTCTTACTTATATCTTTGAAAGAAATTAGAAGTGTTGTCTGGCTGTCTCTGCAGCCACTAAAGTACAGGTAGTCTTACCAACTGCCTTGTGAAGCAAACCTTTGAAGTTGCTATGCTACTAAAAAAAGTAACTTTGCAACCAGTTCTCACATTTATGACACAGTGTCCTGTAATTATGTGATCACCAGTTGTGTGCTTTGCAACTGGCTTGCAACAAGCAGAGTTAATACAGAAAGTGGAAGTAAAATTGTAGCAGAATAACAGAGTTGGAAGGGATCTTAGAGGTCTTCTAGTCCAACCCCCCTGCTCAAGCAGGAAACCCTATACCAGTGGTGGCGAACCTATGGCACAGGTGCCAGAGGTAGCACTAAGAGCCCTCTCTGTGGGCACGCGCGCCGTCGCCCCAGTCCTAGGCCTTCAGCTGGATTTTGTAAAAGCTTTTCACTTTAGGCCTCCGCTGCCTAAACATACAAAAAAAAAAAAGGTTCAATCAATCAGTCAATTTCAACTTCTCGCGGGAAAAAAAAGATCTTGCAAAGTTGGAATTGATTGATTGAACTTTTTAGTCCCACCCAGTCTGCCGTTACCACCGCAGCTACGTCCACCCAATGGGCCACACCCAGCCAATGGGCCACACCCACCTGGCACCCGACGATGCATAAGTGGGTTTTGGGTTGCAGTTTGGGCACTCGGTCTCTAAAAGGTTCGCCATCACTGCCTTATACCATTTCAGACAAATGGTTGTCCAATTTCTTCTTTAAAACCTCCAGTGTTGGAGCACCCACAGCTTCTGGAGGCAAGTTGTTCCACTAATTAATTGTTCTGTCAGAAAATTTCTCCTTAGTTCTAGGTTGCTTCTTTGCTTGATCAGTTTTCATCCATTGCTTCTTGCCTTGCCTTCAGGTACTTTGAAAAATAAGTTGACTCATTCTTGATTTTTCACTTAGCGACTGCATCACTTTGCTTAATGATTGAAGGGAATGTTTGAAGGTTGTAAGGCCATCATGGTCATGTGATTGTTTATCACCTACTTGCTAATGCCAATTGTGATCATTAAAATTACTATTGAAACTGGCATATAAATCAAACCAGTGGACTTAGAAGTACACTGTCAGAATTAAATATACTTAACATAGCCAGTAGTGTTTGCAGGCTCTGGGTGCATAAAAAACAGGCAGAAGTTGGTTGCACTGAAGTGACCACCATCTAGACTTTGTTTTAACTATTCCTATGGACAGCCCTGATTATTGCAGAATAAAGTAGTTTGACAGGGAAAATAATATAATTGTTTTGTATGGTTGATAGAACATACAATAATTTTATATCTTTATGTATAATTTCATGGTTTGAAGTCAATTTCTGATATTTATTAGTTTGTTTGTTTTAGAGGAACCAAGAGCTGGAACACAAATCTCTAAGATCAGCACAAACTCCTGTCATAATACTAGTACTTGTTTTTATACAACCTACAGTATATTTTAATGAAACCAAGTATGAATAATTACTCTTGGGCTAAGCTAGAGGACATTGAAATGATTTATACAACCATGTAAGCACTTTTTGTCTATCGAGTACTTACAGAGTTCAATTACAGAAAGACTGAGCTGGCCTAGTTTCCAAGAATAAAAAAATCATCAGTAAAATAAATTAGATTTTTTTTTATTTTTTTCTACCCTTATAAAATGAAAGGTGTCTAGAGTTGCTCTAGTGGGTGGTCTCTAAATGAAACAAAAAATAAAATAAAAATAAAATAAATGTCACTATGAATACTTTTATATGTATTTGAAACAGTCTTCTCCTTCAGAATATGGACACTTTACTCAAGTATTGTGGTACAAGGGCATATATTCTCTCTTTATGCTTATATATATGCACACACATGCATACAAATGATATACAAGCACATAATGTGCAGCAAAGCCATTCTAGAAGAAAGAATGCTATGTTGCAAAGCACTCAGAAAAGAGGAAAATTAAATTTCTTCTATGAAATAATTTATTGAGAAAATATTCTGGGGATTTCACATAATAGGTTATGTTGGATCAGTAAAAGGTCAGATGAATCTGAAATAATGTTTTGGTGTTAGAAGCTTTTGCCAACCAAAATCTACTTGACAGATATGTGGAAGAGTATGTCATCTTAAATTGGCAGGATAGTTGTTCCAACTTCTTTAAAAGAAAAAATGTGTGTGTGTGTGTGTGTGTGTGTGTGTGTGTGTGTGTGTATAGAGCAGGCATAAAGATATTCAAGCACCATGATGTGTCTAATACCTACAAAGATCAGAATTGTACAAACCATGATATTCTCTATGACACACTATGGAAGTGGAAGTTGGACTCTATACAGTAGGATAAGAAGTATATTCATGTTTTTGAACATTGGTATTGGAGAAGACAGAATATTGTGGTCAGCGAAGAAACCAAACCTATGGATCTTTGAACAAATCAACCAGACTTCTCATCCAAGGAACAAATAACCAAGCTCAAATTATCCTACTTTGGACACCTGATACAAAGACGAGGCTTTCTGAAAAAAAACTTTAATGCTGAAAAAGATAGAGAAAAGAGAAGAGGAAGACCAGCAGCAAAGTGAATGGACTCAGTTATAGATTAAATATAAATTTAAAAAGGAAACCAAGACTGTAGTGCAGCTAAGTTAAACTTTACAGCAGAGTTTAGCAGCCAGCAGAAGTGAGTAGTCAGACACCAGAAACTAAGGGTTTCAAGAATCAGGAAAAACTATAAAATACATAATTCTTCTTTAGGGAAGAAAATTGCTTGTTGGAGAGACACATCTGAGTGATTAACAGAAGTGGGACTTTATGATAGAGAGGAAATACAGAAACTACCCTCTTTTTTGTTATCAACTTTCTAGATGCGATGCTAACATTGCCAAACTCTCTGGAGATATCAATATCAGCAGGCATGAGATTTCAAAACTAGAGAAAGAAATTCATGCTGTTCAGTCTTCCTTGGACAATTATGTGAATAATGTTGAGATGAAGGTGAGTGGCTCTGAAGGAATCTGTTAATCTGTACTATATGTTAGAAATAATTCAACTTCTCCATTTGATTTAAAATTGCTGACTCATGTTACTGGAAGACAAAAACATACAGGATTTTTTTCATACAGGTGGTGAAGGATACAGCAGCATTATAATGGAATAAAGATCTAGAATGATTGCAATAGCCAATTGTACAATTAACATGGTGTAGTGCTGAAATATGGAGACTGAGAAGTGATGCTGCGTCATCACAATACTTATCATTTCGAACATTATTTTTGACTAATGACAGTTTATTAATCCAATTATAAAACACAAAAAGATACAGAAGTTTTTTTGTAATACAGAAAAGATCCTGAGATTCCCAAGCATTATTGCCCTAAATGTTTGTTAAAAACAGGTCATGCCAAACAAACTTTGCTTTCTTTGGTAAAGTGTTTGTATTAGTGCACTAAGGAAATATTATGAATATAATATACTTAGATTTCAGCCAGGTGTTTGATAAAGTAGACCAGAGCCTACTTCTTGGTAAGACAGAACAAGGTGGGATAGTACTACCACCAGACAAATTTCAGTTGGCTGGCCAACCGGACTCAGCATGTGTTCCTTAATGCAGGGCTTTTCAACCTTTTCACCCATTGCACCACTTTTAGGATATGGCAACATTCGAGTACCACCAGTCACCTAGCAAGGTGTCAAAAAATTGATGATCCCCCCCAAAAAAGAAAGAAAAGGTGATAAAGTACAGGTAATTCTCGACTTACAACAGTTCGCTTAGTGACTGTTCGAAGTTACAATGGCACTGAAAAAAGTGCCTCCCCAAGTCATAGCCGAGCAAGACACCTGCCTGCCCACCCGCCCAGCAGCACTCTTCCTCCTGTCCGAGGTTTTCATTGTTGTGAGCATTTCTGTTGAGGATTGGCAGCAGGGGTGGGGTAGGAGGGTGTTGGGTTTTTATTCCCCCCGTCTGCTGGGTGGTTGCAGCAGGTTTTGGTCACATGACCCTGGGACACTGTGACCATCATAAATATGAATCAGTTGTCAAACATCTGAATGTAAATCACAAGACCCTGGAGATGCTGCAACATTCCAGCTGATCAGCGCTTCTTGGCTCAGCAGAAGTGCCAGGATCAGTGCTGCTTTCCAGCTGATTGGTGCTTCTTCAGGGCTCAGCAGAAGCATCAGGATCCGTGCCAAGCTCCAGCTGGAGTCTGGCACTGATCCTGGTGCTTCCACTGAGCCCTGAAAGCCCCAAGAAGTGCCAATCATCTGGAAAGTGGCACTGATCCTGGTGCTTCCGCTGAGCTTTGACAGCCCTGCAGCTCCAGCCATCTCTCACTCAGGCTTGTGCGGTGCTGCCACCGGTTCAGCTCATTCCCTTCCCCCGCGATCACTTTTCTAGAATGATCACATATCACCTACCAGGTGCCAATGTACCACAGGTGGTACCCGTACCACTGGTTGAAAAGCCCTGCCTTAATGAAACTACAACTATATGGAGGGAAATATGCAATGGGATGCTTCAAGGTTCTGTCTTGGGCCCAGTGTTCTTCAACATCTTCCATAAATGACCTAGATGAGGGGATTGATGAAGTGGCATTCATTACATTTGTGGGTGACATTGGCTGGGGAGAATTGCTAATATTTTGTAACATAGAGTCAAAATTCAGAAGGATCTTGACAGACTTGAGCATTGGGCCCTATCCAACAAGATGCAGTTTGGTGGTGAGAAAAATAAGGTCCTGCATTTAGGCAAGAAAAACCAGATACACGGGTACAGGATAGCCAGTACCTGTCTCAAATGTAGTGCCTGTGAGAAGCATCTAGGTGTCCAGGTGACTCACCACTTAAGTATGAGTTAGAAATGTGCTGCAGCTGCCAAAAAAAAAAGCTATCACAATCCTAGACTGCCTCAACAAAGGGATAGTAGCAAGAATACAGGAAGTAATAGTACTGGTCTATACTGGATTAGTGAGGCCATATTTGGAATTGAGATCTGGTCACCATGATACAGAAAAGATGCTGAAGCCCTAAAAAGAGTGCAGAGAAGAGTAACAAAGATGATAAGGGGTCTGGAGGCTAAATCAATTATTAAGGGAGCTAAGTATTTTAGTCTAACAAAAAGAAAGCTTAGGGAAGACCTGATATCAATCTTCCAATACTTGAACTGTGGCCACAGGGAAGAGAGGATCAATTTATTCTGCACAGAACTTGAGGGCAGGACAAGAAACAATGAGTGGAAGCTCATCAGAAGGAAATCCAGCCTGGAAATAAGGAGGAAATTTCTGACAGTGGGAATGATTAATCAGTGGAACAGCTTGAGTTATGGGTACTCCATTGCTGGAAATTTTTCAAGAAAATGATGGTATAATCAATTGTCCAGAATTGTATAAGGACTTATTTTTGCCTTTGGTAGGGGATTAGACTAGAAGACCTCCAAGATACCTTCCAGCCCTATGGTTCTATGAAATGGAAGAACACTTGTCTGAAATGGTATAGGTTCTCCTGCTTGAGCAGGGGGCTGGACTAGAAGACCTCCAAGGTCCCTTCCAGCTCTGTTCTATTCTAACCCTACATTCCAATTTTAACATGTCTATATTTGAGCTTTATTACTGAGACTTTTTTAATGTAAGTGTTCAGATCTCAAGCAAAATTGCTTGTGAACAGGATTTTTTTTTTTTTTTTTTTTGCTTTCCATCTGGTAACTTCAACCAGATTCCACACATCAGACATTCAAAATTAAGATTCCAAGAAAGCTTTGTATTTTTTTTAAAAAAATAGAGTTAAATGCTGGATAGAATTATGTTCTTAGATCTATTCTTGCTGAAGAAGACTTTTTGAGATCAAAATGCATTTGGATTTTTTTTGTATCTGAACACTTTGAAGAAAATATATAAAGATGAATTTTAAATTGTCATATAGTTTTCTAAAATATAATTAGATTTGAATAATCATGTTAATGGACTAATAATCACTACTGAATTTAAGCTAAAAATGAGTAACAAAGGCTATGGTCAACCCAGTGTAAATCTTCAAATTAAACAGCATACTGTATTAAGCTCAGTTCATATTACAAAATAGTTATTTTAATTTATGTACAGTATCTCATAAAATAAAAATATAGATTCTATGCATAGATAAATCTACATGTTATATGTGGTACAAATCCATGTTTTAGATTATAATCTACAAATAGTTTCCAGTTTGCTTTAAAGATAGGAAGTTATTCTAGACACTGAGACATATTCTCATGCTTGGTTAGCTATTCTTCCATTAATGGGATTTGACAATTTTCAGTAAAAAGCAGATAATATCCTTTCAGCAATTATTATTTATAGGCCAATTCTATATACTCTGAGGAGATATGTGGTTTAGTGAAGTTTAATAGTAGTATTGTAGATTGAAATAGGAATTCAATTTTTAAGATTTGTTTCATACTGGTGTGAATCATTTTCCACAATTGTTGAAGTTACCGGCATTGCTGCTGAATATGAAAAAATGATCTGATCTGCTCATTGTATTTCAAGGAAATTTTTGAAAACGAATGATCTATTTTAGCAATCAAAACTGGGTAATATACCAACATTCTGCACTATATAATATTCAAAGTAAATTTAATATTATTCTTCCATTGAAATTCCCAGGTTATTGATACACTTTTATGTGGTTATACTCTCAGACTAATCGATCATACCAGATGCTTGCTGTTAAAAATCTCATGAAGTATATACCTCTGGCTCATCATATTAAAAATTGTTCTTAAGTACATTTTTCACAATGTTACCGTTTCTGTATTCCTAATTAAGGGAAGATTATTTTTTACTTTGTTAATTTAATTCCTGCACAGCTGTCAGTGTCTACTACTGTACTTGAAGTGAATGGTCATCCTAGGTGGGATGGCTATAAGCTTCAAAATTATCTGACTTTATATGTGCACTGAGCTCTTCTTGATGAGGAGCATGAGAGCTTTAAGGACGTGGCAAAGTCTTAGGTGGGACTTTTGCAGGGGCTTCCATAACCAGATGAGAAGCCCTCATACACAGATCAAAAGTTCTCCAGCTCTCTCTTATAGAATGGGCTTTGTTCCCCTTGTAAAGAAATGTTTATCTGGTGTCCTTATCACTGTTAACAACATATGAATTTCCCAAATCCTGTACCGAAGGCTCATTCTTACTGACTAAAGGTAAGCAGATGTGTTCTATCTAGAGAACATGTAAAATTAAGCTCTTTTGAACTTGCCAATAATTCTTGGAAAGAAAGCTTCTTCTGCAACTATTGAAAAAATAGAAGAAATGCTTGTCATTTCCACATAACATGGATTACTGGTACAAGTAGTCCTCATTTAGCAACCATAACTGGAACCCGGAACACAGTTGTTAAGTGAAGCAGTCACCAAATGAACCCAAAACTCTGCTTACAATCCTACTTCAGCTTTCCTTTGCTTTACAAACCTTTGAAAGATTGGTTGAAAAGTTCCTTTTTCATCATTGTCATAAATGCCAATAGTTGTTATCCAAAGCAGTCACTATGTAAAAACAAAGGCAAGCCTTTCATGCAGAAATATGACAGGAGTAGGACAATTAGAATCTTAACGGGAAAAAGTTTCATACATGCTGACTGTTCCAAATGGATTAGTACATAACATAGCTCTTCCTGGAAATGTAGAATATTAGAGAAACCTATATATAATCTGATCATTTCTGTACAAAGTCTCTATAAAAAATCCAACAAACACTGGATGCTAATAATTATTTTGGAATAGTTGATGGGAATCTTTCACTATGCAGCAAAATTAATTCTGAGAAAAGCTTATAAGAATTAAATTCCGACTTTTCCCTTAGTCACTGCAATCATTATGTGTATTCAATGTAAATGCTAGGATTTTAGCTCTTACTGATTTTTCTTGTTCCTATTAGGTAATGCATCTTTTAGGCAAGATAGAGACTTCAAGCTCAGAGCAAACTTCAAATGTAAAGGCAATGCAGGGTGATCAACACCATGAATTGCAGCTCTTGGACTTCAAGTAAGAGAACAAAGCTTTTCAATTATGTTAATGTGCTTGGTGAGAAGTTATGATACAATGGTATTGGCACAACAGAACACCACTAAATTAATTTATTTGCCTTTAAGAATCCTGACAGGCCAACAATGATAAATGTTTATTAAATCACATATATCTTTTTTTTTACAAAGCTAACTCAGTGCTTTAACTGAAAATGCACAGTGCTTTCATTTGCTTTCACTGATAGCTATAAGGACAAAACTTTTCTTAATTCAATGCAAAATAACTATAATAGAAGTAGAAAAAAGGCAGAAAATCATAAGAACCAAAGTAAATTTGTTTTTGTAAATAGTCATTCTGGTGAGTGAATTGGGTAGTTTCTAAATTTGTTATACAAATATATAACAAATATAAATATATAAAATAAATAAGGAATAAACTTTGAGGATTTAGAGAAGGAAAAAGACTTTGCATAAATGGGTGGGGAGAGTGTCTATGCCAGGGGTCTCCAACACCCGGTCCATGGACCGGTACTGGGCCGCAGCATGCCAGCAACTGGTCCACACAAACAAAGCTCCATCTGTGGTATGCAGGGAGCACACAAAACTACGCACTCTCTGGTCCGTGGAAAAACCTCTCTCCACGGAACCGGTCCCTGGTGCCTAAAAGGTCTATGCCATACATAACTATATTAGAACTTTATCTTCCTAACTCATATAAAGAAGTGTAAAATATACTGCTATGCTTCAGTTTTCTTTTTGAAGAATTGCTTTTGAACACAAGTGCTTAAATGCAGCACCTATCTCCACTCATTGAAGTAGCTGCGTGTTTCCAAGATTGATATTGTTTCAGTGAAAAACCCTGAAAAGGCTGCTTAACCTTGAAAAGATGCAGCTGTTTTAATAAATCAGATACAGATGCTATAATTGTGCTCTCTTGCATTCTGAATTTTTTTAAAAAAACATCAGATGTGAAATACTAATTCAGATGTGAGATGAAAATCTATTTATATTTAATTGTAAAATCAGTATTTATGTTTTTAAAAAACAGGATAAGAAGACAACTCGAAAATGTTTGGAGAAGTGTTTGTTTCTTCACTTCATTCTTGTCTTATATATATCTGTTCATCAGTTGCAGGCACATGCACTGCACACACACACACACACACACACACAGAATTGATGCTCATATTCAACTTCTTTCTTTTATTTGCAAAAGCTTTAGATTTGCCCATATAAAAGCTGTGATCAGAAGCTGACTTACAATGCTTAAAAATATATAAACCTTTGATCACTTTCAAATTAAAGATCTCTCTTGTTGGGAAAATACATTTATTCAAACATTATGGAAGTATTTATAGCCTTGAAATCAAAACTATACCAATGTTGCCACTTCAGAGAACCATTAACAACCAAAATTGGGAAAACTCAACAGCATATGGAATAAATCTGATTCATGACATGAAATCCAAATAGGTTTATCCACATTGTTTCATTGAAGTTTTACTCACATGAATTTGGTTAAGACTGAACTAAGAAAAAAATTAACATAAAAAAGCCAGTGTCTTCATATTGCTTTTGTAGTGAGATCATGGTATAGAAGAACTTTTTTTTAAAAAAATGCATGTTTTATGATTTATTTTCATGAAAATTAAAAAGAATTTCTCTTTAAATATTAGGATAAATAGTATTTTAAATGATTTTAAAGATCAAATTCAAAACCAACGAAAGTGGATCGAAAGTGAGTTGAGGAGATCTGAACAAGAGCAAATCCATCTCACAAACCAGCTGTTTGTTACAATCAAGGACAGATTGGTAAGTATGGTTGTAATTCATGCAAAGAATACAAGCATAACACGCTTTCTCAAAAATTTTATAAAAGAAGAGCAGATTTTAAACAGAAAAGTGTTTAGATCTGGTTAACATTTTCAGTGATCTCACATGAGTAATACTGGCTGAGTGATGGAAATGAGGCAGCAGAGAATTCGGGGGAATAAGATGATGAGAAGACTATCTCACAAAAAATCTACAACAGAAGTACAGAAGTCAGGAACACCTGAAGGGAGTATAAGAGCCAATCAGATTTTATTAACAGATGTTGAAAGGCCATTCATGTTTGCATTTTGTGTTCAATATATTGCTAGAGAAAGGTAATATACTAAGGTTACTTTGGGGACTTGGGGCAGTCAAGAGATGTATGGATTTTAAGCTGCTACATTATGGATGTTCTTTCAGTTGCAAGCAATAAAATATGCCATCTTAAATAAGTCTCTTAACAGATGGCAGAGTGTTCCTTTTTCAAACGCAATCTTGAATTACAGCTTGAGTTTTTGGCAAGTACTTAAGACAGAGTGTTTAGCTTCAGAAAGTAGCTGATCCAGGATCAGGACACTCTATCTAAACACAACTTTCTTCAAATTTGTTTTTTTGCGAGGGGGAGAGGAGCACTTGGTGTGATAAACTGGAACAGTTCAGTTTCAAAAGTAGACAATTTGGTGGTTTTATAAAATAATCTAAAAGATATACTGTGTGATTGCTAATCCTAAATTGTTGCATCATGCAGCAAGTTTTAAATGTTGTATTTTATAGATTAAAACTATTGAAGCTTTAAGTCAATGCTTACTAAGTGCTTTGATTTTTTTGAAACAAAATCACTATAGGCTCCTCATCAGTTAGAAATGGCTCTGCCTTCCAGTTTTAAATCTTCAGATTCTACCTTGGGATATTTAACCTTTATTATGTTTGTATCTGCTTAGTAACTTAAAAACTTAATGAAGAACCTAATAACAAAAATGAATAAAAACATTTGATAATAGAAGTACATTTATGAAGTAGAATATACAATTGTTTTTCTTAAAATATTAAAAACTATTTATTTATATTTCGTATTTAACCACCCATTTCCTCAGAGAGGGGCTTATTTTCCACTGTTCAGTCAACAAGATTTCCCAAGCAAATTATAAATATTGCAATTACTTGCAAGCATACCATTTAAAATAAAAAGATGACAAGAAAAATGTATGAGAAAGAGAAAAGCAATCTCATAGTCAAATTAAGCACTCTCTTAAAAAGTATAGTGTTTTTGTTCAAAACTTAGCATGGAGAATTGCTGGAGAGTAGACAAGCAGAACTGGTGTTAATCCAGATAGAGCCACAAACTAGATGGCCAAAAACTGATCCACTATTTTGAACAATGTAAATTGCAGAGACCAACCTATCTGAATTTAGGCCATAATTGACTAGGTTTTAATTTTTTAAAAAATAGGAAACCAATGTAGTTGCTACCTACATCTTTAATTAGTAACTTGGATCTTAGTTACAATGTTCAGCATTTTATGATGTTGGATCTAAACATGATGAAAGAGTTGCTGCTTCATGGCCAGTTGTTCATCTCATTTTCTTTCCAGACTTCTACATGAGCCAGAAAATAAGAGGCAGCATTTTTTCCCAAGTTCAACTGAAAATCTTGAAAAAGGCTTTTGTAGTAAATAGTATTATATACATGTGAGAACTATACCATGCAAATCATTTTGATATCCCACATTTCTTTGGATCCTCCTCCCCTTTACTGTACCAAACAATTTTTATAAGCTGAAACGTCTTCAGAGTTTCATAGTAAAATGTGTATCAAAAAGTTTGGAAGCCTCGTACACCAGATTAGCTTTAAATCCATCTCAACTTCTTGGCTGTTCCATAAAAAGTTAGTTACCTATTTAACTGGGAAATGAGATCTATCATTTTTGTAAATGTTTACAAATAAAAATAATTATAAAAATTATAGAATATCTACAGAAAAAAATTAACAGAGAAGCAGGGTTAATTTCATTCCTTTATACTGAATGAATAAATATAACATTTTTAGTAGCGTAAATTCTATTCATTTTTCACAATACCTCTTTTAAAAGGAAATAGTGGAAAAAAAATTGGAAGATGGGTTATACTATGTCTCCAAAAGAATAGAAAACACAGAAAAAACATTGCAATTTGATGTGGAACTCAGTCAGGTGAAAAATGATCAAAATAAACTACATGCAAAGATTACCAGATTTGAAAAGCTGATGTGGAATGAACTGGAAGGAATGCAAAATGAATACAGATCAGGTGAGGTTATTTTTCAAACGTACATGCATTTGTGCATTTGCATGTGTGTTATATAGCCACACAACTTTGTCATTCTCCAGATTACCAAATCATGGCATAAGCAGGAAAACCAAGTCTTCTTGCTGTGGTTCAATTTATAAATCTTTCTGTCATAAAGGCCAAAAATCAGTTTTCAGCAGAAATAACCAATTATTTTGTTAGAGAAATTGTCAATTCATGTCTATTTTGATTTTTAGTCTTACCAGAAAAAATATATATTATACTTTTAATCAGTCTGATTTCAGGCATTACATTATTATGCACTAAAGGAGAACTGAACTAATTCATCTTAAAGCTGGTCACATTCGCTTAATTGAAAAAAAATGTTCATAAAATATTTCAATGACACATTAAATGATAGATCAAATGATGATCTTAAGCTAAGAAGCAAGTTAAAATTATTTTGAAATGCTGTATAAACACAAAATTTGATATTAATGATAATTTTGTCAACTTTACTAAAAGATGCCTTATTTGCCAGGATTTCAATCTATCCGTGATTCTCTTGACGCACTCAAACATATACAGACAACAAAGCTGAAACTTGAAGAAGAGAAATTCAAACAAGATATGAAAAAGCTACGACGAAAACTCACTGAACTCAAAGACTAATACATTTTGTTTAGCATTTACATTTGTTCCATCAAAGAAAAATACTAAAAAAGTTTAAAAAGTTAACTTCTTGTTTCTACATTATCAGACTTGTTTTCCTGTAAATCTGGGACAAAAAACACTGTGATAGTTGTGAACAGACATAAGTTAAAATAGAGACATATTAACACTTCATTTATGTTTGAAAAATAAAATAAAATGCAAGGACTAATGGTAAGTTGTGTAAGTCATTGCTTGATTTATTTTTACAAACCATTACAACCAAATATCTGCAATTATATCCTGAAGTTTACAAATTAGGAGCCTCTGCCTTTACAAAAAAGCTAAAGCAACCTTACTAGCTCACTCATGTAATTTTGTTATCAGCTATAAAAAGACAAATACTTTTCCTAAAACATTTGTCTGTTATGAAGAACTTTTATAATTTCAATTGTTCTGCGAATTCAAATAAGAACTTTTACATGCAGTTTTCTACCTACCAAATTGTTTTTCATTTTGTTTTTAATTCTGCTATTTATTTGTAAGAAGGAAAAAGCTAAGTTTGCAAAAATGTAGCCATACGCCCATAAATATTCTGAAGAATAGATATGTAAGCCACTTAAATTTGTTAAGACATTTAAAATGCCAAGTTTTTGTCAAGGTAGGTATGGAATTAGAAAAAAAGATACAAGCAACATACCCTCTCCTTGACCAACTCTCATGTACAGTACATTTTCTAACTATGAGATTCCTATAAGTCATCATCAGTTTTTGAGGAGAAAATGTTCTTACAAATTCAAATGGAACTTGCTTTGCAGTCTTCTATAAAATAGAAATCTGGTGGTTGAATAATGCAAAGGTTGCTGTGTAACATTTCTGTTTCCTGAAAGAAACTTCATTGCAACACTTCAAATCATTCTCTGAAGAAAAAATACTAAAGCATCAACTATGAGGTTCCATCAGTTTTGATGGAATTATTTGAGTGAATAGGAAGAATTGGGGCCAATAACCTGAAAGGAATCTATTCTTTAACATACCAGTTCCAGTAGTAATATCCTCAAGTTGTAAACCACTAAGGTAATTAATTTTTCCTCTTCATGTACATTTTTGGGGGATTATATTTGCTTCTGTATAGCACTGAAACTTGATGAAGAATCTTAGGTTTATAGGCTAGATACTGTAGTAGTACTCTTATAAACAGTAATCTTATAAACCAAGGGTCTTCAAACTTGACTCTTTTATGACTTGTGGACTTCAACTCCCAGAATTCCTCAGCCAGGCATGCTGGCTGAGGAATTCTGGGAGTTGAAGTCCACAAGTCATAAAAGGGCTATGTTTGAAGACCCGTTATAAATCCTTTTCTAATGTAGGGAGGGAAAAAAACTGATTTTAAAAAATATAGAATTATTCTAATACAATAGCAGATGGTGTCCTTTATTAGTTTTTACCTTCTCAAATCCGACAGCCAAAAAAAGGGAGGGAGCACATAGTTCAAAAGGAGCAGGGACTAACTAGGCAAATAGGGGAAATGGTTTTATAAACAGTAAAAATTCTGATATTTTCATAAAATGCAGACTGAATCATTTCGTCAACTTTTATGTCAGAAGTAGGTTCCATAATTGATGTTTGTGAGGGCAGTACTGAATATGAATATCTAAAATTAAGAACTGTTTCTTCAAAGGAACTGTCCATTCTACTGAAATGTAGATTTACTGTAATTGTCTAATGATTAACATAACAACAAATATAATTTCACTTTAATGACAAACAAACTAATGGCCATTATCAATAAAAACCACATTACAAAAGAAAAAAGAAGAGTTTAATGCATTTGTGTGAAGAATTCTTAAGAGGGGTTAAATATGAACAATTCAGTCAAAAAGTATTGGGGCTCATATTTTGCATACTGCCCTTCCCAGAGTAGTTGGGAGTCAGACAGCATGTAAATATAATAAATTTAATTAAAGTGGAATTTAATGTGGAAGGAATATTTCTTAACCCTTCCTTTTCTGGTATATTTTATTGTGGAGGTGGAGGGGGTGGCGGCAGTGGAAAACAAGAGAATTTTAAATCACAGAAATGGCTTGAAATTGAAAGAAAAATACAACTCTCTATCCTTTGGCTCCAAATTATAGCCCACCATTTGTACATCAAAAACAATTTAAGAAAAAGAATAATGAAATAATATCTAGCTCTATTGTAAGGATGTCCTACTTCATATTTGCCATCCATTTCATGCTGTGTTCTAAGTATTCTACTCTGAAACATCTTGAACTTGATGAACAAGGAGCATCAAGTACTATGGCCTCATATTATCCTTGAATCTAATTTAAAAGTATTTATTTCCAAAATGGACTCTAATGAAAGTAATGAGTAACACAACAAAACTGAAAATCTACTTTTCTCAGGCTCTGCCCATCATCTCTCTGAAATCAAAGGTTTACTTCAACTGTACTGTGAAAGACAGCCATGAAACATAACATTAAATATAGCCAGGAAAATAATGTTTGGTTGAAATTATACAGTTCTGAATTAAAAATTTCTGCACGCAGAATAAGATATAAGCAGTATTTCAACAGATTTTATTGCTTCATCACCAAGTTAAAGGTTATTTATTTTGTTTGAGAAGCTGTAGAAAGATACATTGCTAAATAGTAAAAAAAAAAAAATGACATGGACAGAAACAGCAAAGTCTTAGCAGACTATGAAGATAGACATAGTCCAAAGTTTATTTAACACATGAATGTATTATTCAGGCTCCTTTTTAAAGACAGAAACCTGTCACATTTACTTCTAGAGCAGAGGTCAAAACCTTTCTGCTTTCCAAGGTCACTAGTATTCACTGTAATTTCTCAGTAGGAGCACAGATTAGGTATACTTCAATAGAACTTCAATTGGATAGTTTAATAACTGATTCCTTTTAATATAAATTGGACTGTAAGCACTATGATTTAAAATCAAAGTATTTGTCATGAAGATGTTGTTTCCAAAAGCCTCCAAAGTTATTCTGATTCCTCACTAATGTTTGTGCTAGGAGTCTGCTGCTGAGAGTTTCTTGTCTAATTCCAAAACTCGAATATCTCCATTAGCTTTGGCATTTGCTGTAAGAGCCTGCAGAATTCGGAAAGCGGAGAAAAAAAGAATTATGCATTAATGTGAGTATCTCAAAATATAAGAGTTAAGGATGTTCACTTACTTGCTAATCAATCACAAGCTAAATAGGCCACTTAGTTCTACATAGGGATTGCAAAACCTTCTGAGCCAAACCATTCCATGCAGGGGACTGCTGCTTTAAGGTGGTCTGTACCTGCTGTGAAACATCTTTCAGATGTTTGGATTGTATACAGAATGAAATGGGGCTGAAGAGTGTGAGGGTGAGGAGGAAGAACAGGCCAAAGAGTGAGGATTTTCATTGTTAAGGGCACATGTAGGCAGCAGCAGCAGCTTGTGAGAGGCAGGAAAAGTGCTAGGCAAGTGCTAAACCAATGGGGCAAGCTGTGCTGGGAATCTGAAGTTTATTGCAAAGACCATTGTAATAAGTAATAAACAAGAGGTGCAAAAGTAGATACCGTATTTTCTGGTGTATAGGACGACTTGGCGTATAAGACGACTCCCGACTTCGGCGGTGATTTGCATGCCTAGAAAGTTGTCTTATACGCCGGAAACTACTGTAATTTCCAGCGTGTAAGACGACTCAGCATATAAGACGACCCCTGACTTCGGAGCCGATTTACATGCTTCAGAAAATTGTCTTATACGGCAGAAAATATGGTACATTAGCAGCAACTAAGAGGAATTGGAGAGAGGCAAGAGATAAGGAAGATGGGAAGGCCTATAGGATCTGTTGCACTGGGGCTTTAGCAGCAGTAGTTTTGGGTGGGAGCAGAGGAGCAAAGGGAAGCACTGAGATGAGGGGAAACATGGCCACCCAGAAGTAAAGGGAAAGGGAAGTATCTTAGCATTGTTCTGCTAGCCCTGCAAAATCATTAGATCTCCTTAAATTTTGTTTCAGCTGAAACCCAGAAACACCAAAACCTATTTTGAATTTTCATACACAGTTAATCCAAAAGCATAATTTCCAGAACCAGATGGTTTGTTTTGGGTTCGAAATAAAACATAACCTGTGCACACCACTAGTTTTGCAACTTAACAGTTTGATGTCTGGTTAGTGAGGGAAGTTAAATAAGTAATGTACTATCCTCCATGCTATTTTTAATTTTTATTCTATTTTTATTTTTCTTAGTTTATTCCTCCAAGGATTATGGCAAGATAGCCAAAGTCCCCATCCCATCTATACTCTGTTCAAGAGTAAAGGTCACAATTGGTATGAACATGTAAAAGGTGGGGGTGGGGGAATCTAATGACTCCTTGCACTTAGCAGTGGTAACTGTCCTTTTTGTTGAAAGCAGATCAAGTACTTCAACCATTGCTACTTCAGATTACATTTATTATATGAAGGAACAAAAAGGAACTAGGGGAAAATAGAAGAACAAAAGGGCAGTTCAACTAATAGTACCTTTTTTGTCACAAATACCATCCTCCAAAAGGTCAGATTCGCCCCAAACCTGCTCACCTCCAGGGCCTTGGGGTTGAGAGGCCAGATGTCTCATTGAAAGGCCTTTGTCAATTGTTTACTTTTGGTATCCATTGTGGGTGTTAATCCTCCATTATTGTTATTCTTTTTTTTAAAGAATCATTTTAATGTGTGGTCAGCTACTCAGAGTTATATTGGCAGGATGGGCAGCCATATTAATAAGCAATCCAATATTAAGGGACTTCCGGTTTGCGTCACAGTGAGATGGGATGCAGGAAGGCAGGGCTCTGCCTTCCATGCCCAATTTTGCCCTGCTGGGGGCTCTAAAAAGGGCCTAAAATCACCCTGAAGAGGCGATGGAAGAGGAGGAGTGCCTTATAGATTATGGAAAAACGGCGGTCTTTCTGTTTAATCCAAGGAAAGCCCTCCAAACCGGCAGGGGAAAGACCAGCTACATTCCTGTGGCCGGCCATTAGCTGCTGACAACCAAAGAAGAAAAAAGCACTACTTAATACATCGTAAACAACATGTTTGGAACTGGATGAGAATATTGATCCTTTCTTTAGTATTTTACAACTGAATTTCCTGGGAAAGGCTCCCAAGAAGCTAAAACCTCAGAATGTAACAGAAGTGGCACTTTAATTTTATGGGGGACAGAAACATACAATATTGAAATGGAAGTAACATAAAGCTACAGCTTTGATAAATTTGAGAACTGAGATAACTGTTAAGATTTTCTCTTTGAAAAAAAAACCCATTGAGGTGAAATATAAGAAATCAATCATTTGTTTTTAAGAGTGGAAAATGGACTTTGAATGACACCTAGTGGTGGATTTGTGTATAGCAGTATAATTTGTTTCCTGGTTGCTTGGTGATTCCTAGCTTGGGAGAACAGTTAGCAATAAAGGAAAATATTTTGGCATACTTATCACTCTGACCTTTTTGGATTATAAATACCTACTGAGTTTGGACTTTTAACTTTAACAGCTAGTGGGAGAGAAAGAAAAATTTGACCTTGGACTAGCCTGGCTGGGAGAGACCTTTGAGCTGTTTTCAGAGAGGTTGAACATTTTGAACTCTTCAAACATTGTGGATTACAACCTTGCCTGACTGACAATTTTTGGATACTTGAGACAAAGGATTACTATAAAATATTGCTTTCAGAACTGAACCTATACTTTGGAATGTATTGGATTATAAAGGATACATATAAAGACCAGAAAACTAGAGGAAATTTTGATCTACTCTTACTGAGTCTGGTGACAGTAAAGGATCTCAAGGAATGATGCCTCAAGAAAAAACAAACACCTTTCAGAAAGAAATATATTCTGTGCTACAACTAATTCACTAAACAATTGTTGAATGCAAAAAGGACATAAAAAGAAATCATAATGAGACTAAAAGCAATTTAGACAATATAAACGAGCAAATCTCTAAATTAAATCTACAACTAGAAAGTTCCCAGATAATGACTACAAAGTATGAATAAATAATCCAGAAATCAGAAGACGAAAGAGAGGAAATGAATTTAGAGATGGAAGAGATAAAAGAAGGGAAATATAAACAACTATATACAAACAAAATACTGCAGACTTAGCTATAACAATAAAAATGCAAAAGACCTTTTACCCCTTAGGTCTGCAAAATATATCTGATGGCAAGGAAGATTTTAAAAAAGGGAATATAGAGCTGTTAAGGGAAATGTCACAACTTGGGAGAGGGGGAATGAAAAGAGAAATGGAGGGAGAAAGGAACTGGGAGTTGTTTAAGGAATATAAATGGGCAGAATTCCCCCCAAAAATACCCTACCTAAATTGTCTTCCTCACGCCAAGCAATGTTTACAAAAATAGAAAGAAAATTCCTGGGCAATCTAATTGCCCTGGCTTGGAAAGCGACTTGGCAAAGAAAGAAAGAAAGAGTCAGATTTAAAAAAATAGAAGATTTGACCTTTTAGAGCAGGGGTGTCAAACTGCCGGCCTGGTGGCCGGACGTGTCATCTGGAAGCCACGCCCACCCCATTGCCGGCAATGACAAAACTGTCTTGATATGTTGCACAATGTCACATGACGTCACAAGTTTGACATGTCTGTTTTAGAGGGAGCATATGTTTAAATACGTGTTTGAATAAGATTAAAAGAACGGATGACCCTTAGATATAATTAGACTTTTATAATGAAAGATATGATTTAGAATTAAGATAGCATTTTTTTCTCTTTTTTTGATATGGGAAATATGAAGATAAGAAGGTTGATTTGAATAAAACTTTTAGCTATATAAATGTAATTAATATTGAGAAAATCATAACTGATAAACATATTTCAAATACTCATAGGAAATCAAACCTTAACAAGAGCACAGAGAACAGGATATTGAATAATGAATTGACATTATTGATTTGTAAATTGATATCATTGTTATTTGTATGATATTAGTAAAGTATGATGAAGATGCTTATACAGTATCTAACTTTGTATACATTAACAGCACCAAAAATTGTAATGGTGTAATGAGGGGAAAATGGAAAAAATATGGAGAAGAAAGGAGGATCAGGGGAA